TCCTAGCACTTATATGGTCTGTATAACTGATGAAATTATTTCTTTAATGATCTATAGTTACCATAATTAGTTACACGTAATTAGGGAAGTAATATTAATTATATTTTCTAGGTGGAAAATGGACACAAAGAAACTGAATGAAGCTTAATTTCACACAAGTCTTTACCAACTTTGCTATTGCACCTTCACAACTAGCTTACTACTTTGTCTAGATGTTCAATATATTTAAGTTAGTTTCAAAAACCTGCATATAGCTTATGATTTCAAAAGATAACTAGTGAGAGATATAAATTATTGAGTACCTAATTTCATCACATATAAATCAGTATTGCCACTTTAAAATATTCAGGAAGTATGCATTTCAAAATATACAAAAGGAATGTGTTTCCTTCTGGTGGCCTTTTGTTATTAACATTTTATGGATTTAATTTCTTTTTTTTTTTCTCTGCAAAACACAGTTAAAAGTTTATTTAAGAGAGAAGTCCAGGTAAGATGATAAAATTCCAGACACTAAGAAAAGAACATAAATAATGAGATTTGGGATGTAGGGTGGGATGACAATGCAAAAACCCCACAATAGTTATCAACGTGTTAATATCGGGTTTTCCATTCAGTTTTTTTCAGATATCCACATGTCTGGGACCACAAATGACTACAGTAGCCCCTTACTTCTCCTTCCAATAACTTTGTTATGTATGGCTATTTTCAAAGTAGCTGATGTTCCCTTTCCCTTCTTTCCAAATTCATCTGCTTTACTGGGATTACAAGAAATCCAGTGCATGTTATCTGCAGCATGGTGCATAATGTACAAAAGCCAAACAGAGAGTATTGTGCTCTTTCTTAAATTTCCAGACCTGCTCTTTAAAATATACTCTTATCTGAAATCTGTCTCGATATCAAAACTTAAAAGTGCAACTGTGTGTACATCACAAAAGGCATATACTTTCATCTAGTTAGGTCTATACAGAGTATACTATAAAACTAACTTGAAATGCAGCATGTCCCTAACAGTGAAGAAACAAATTTGAACTAAAGTTGAAATTTTTTTTTTTTATATAAATGCCAAATTATCTACTTGCATATTATAGTCCAGCTTTGCATTTTTAAAAGGTATATACTTGTAGAAAAATACCACAGGACAGTAGGTAGAAGAACCATTGCTACTTCACACAATTCACTTCACCTCCTAGTTAACAAATAGTGTCCCAATTCTTCAAGTGGCTTCTTGCAATTCGAGGGGCATGCCCGTGTAATTTTCACTGTATCATATAGTAGGTATAGTGTTATGTTAATATCCCTACAAAGCTATTCAATCTGCACAAATGGTTTCTGCAGCTGTCAAGCCATTTGGTAGAGGCATGAATTTAAACAATTAGGAACAGTCTGCCTGCAGCTGACCTCTTATGGCCATACACCTGCAAAAACTTCACCTAAATCACAATGGGACTCTGAAAGTGGAGCAATCCACCAAAGTACAACAACTTGCAGTGCCTAAATGTTGAGACAAGAGTAAAAAAATAATCAGATGGGAAAGGAAAACCACTTATCTTCTCAAAGGAACCCATCAGGACTCAGCGACAACACATTATGTTTCTTAATAATCTGAAACTCAATGTTGCTAAAGGCATCATGTTATAAAAACAGGAATATATTAATTCAGGATTGGCTGCTCAAAAAATACATTTCCCTAATGTATTTCACTGAAGCACCCTGATGATAATGGAGGATAGTATTTTCCTTTATTGTTTGTAAGTCTTGTCTGTTAACAAGTTTTGATTTCCTTTTGAACATCATTTCAATAAATTAAATATTTCAGTAATTCTGTCTTCATATTTTAGAAAAAAAACCCAGTGTCTAAACACAGAGGATTAATCAATCTGTTTATAACTGAGCCGGTTTTGAACTGAAACACCTGTTCAACAACAAATGTGACTTTCAACTTTTTGCCTAGAGAAAGACAACGTTAGCATTACCTAAAAAGGGTGACTAATGAACATGTTATAAAGAACAATTTACTGAGGATTTTGTATTTCAAGATTCCAGATAATTATCTATGTGCATTTAACAATAATAAAAAAAGGAAAAAATATTGATTGAAAATGAAAACTCAAAATGAATCAATTTAACATTATTTTGAACATTTCACTGAGATGTATTTGTTCCTATAAACTATTTTGCTCTTCACATAAATTGTGCTTTGAGGAAAGTTTTCATTTCTAAGTTCTATCTCGTATCTAATTTATTATTCTTTATTTTGGTGACGTGTTCGTAGATGCCTGTTGCAGGAAGGATGCCATCCAACTGAGTGTTGTTCCACACCATAACAACTGCCTCAAAGTGCTTACCATCCATTCTGAAGCAAGAATCAATGAGCATGGTGAAAAAAGACACGGGGGACAGTAGCTGGGTTACAGCCAAGTGATCTTCCAGCTACACGAGACGATGAAAAACTGTATAAAAGTCTCTGTCCCTAGAAATACAATTCTTCTATGTTCATTGTATTTGCAGTAGTTACAATGCCCAACCAGAAGTAGTTCTCCCCCCAGAGAACAGGGGACGCGCATGGGTTAGAAGTCTGCCACCGGCTTTGAACCAACAGACCTGTCCTGCTGTTCAACAATAAAGGCTCATGGCTTTCTATGTCATCGTCCCACATTCAGGCCCCGATGCGGAAATTACAATAAATGGCTTCACAGGACAGACACGTTATAGCATACAGGTACTGACGATGAAAAAAAAGGATAAAGAGATGATGGTTAATTGTTTAACATAAATTAGTTAATAAAAGGTGCAGCTGTACATAAAGCATAGAAAAGGAGTGGAGGCAGGTGAAAGAATACAGGTCTGTCTACTGGATAGATAAAACTGGTACCATGACCAGAGCACTGGTAGGGGGTGACAGAACAGAACAAAAGATCAGGTATGGGGGGATGGGGTGGGGTGGGGTGGGTGGTTGTGAGGAGTCTTGGAAGGCTGAAAGCTCGAATGCAACACACCAAAACAGGAAAAAAACAGTGGAAAATATTGAAGAGTGAAGCCCGCAAAAGAAAAAGCAGCCAAAATTATACTAGCAGCTGGCTCACTTAAATTTAAAAGTGAAACTTCTGCGAGGAGTTGCATCAACTTTTAAGGGACAAAATATAAAATTCCATTCCCCAAATCCTCCTCATCTCCATATACACATTATCTATATTGATTTAACTACCTACACTGCCAAAAACTTCCTACCTCACTTGAACTGGAGATTATTACCCGGCCAGGCTATGAATTAGCACATCAAGACATACAACATTGATTGAGACAACCAAAACCCAGTATCCGCCTCAGCCATTAGGCTGCCCTGCACTTTTTCATGACTTGTATCAATGATACAATGCAGTATTTCCCTTTCTCCCTGCTCCAAAATGCAGAAATGTTCCAACAACTCAGTTGAATTACCAAGTCTAAAAATTATTCAGCTTTTAAAGAGCAACATCACTACAGTATTGGGAAAAGTATTTTTCTGTTCAATGGCTATAATTTTTTTGTAAATCTTAAAATTCTTAGGAGAAAAAAAAGAAAAAAAAAAAAAGAGGGTAAGCATTGCAATGTTTTATTCCTGTTTATATAGAAATGCTCTCTGCCACCCAGGGCTGAATATTTACATTCAAGCAAATAATATGACACAAATAAAGAAGAACCATATGTGAAAACTGGCAGAAATAATAGTTCATCTCTGCTTTTAAAACATATAAAATGAAGCATACCTGTATACGTTGTGGCAAAGAGAGGCCAGAATCTGCAGGGACGATCTGTATTCGTTGTGGTGTCCCATCCATTAGTGTCTGTGTAACAGCTCCCTGGGAATGGGTAATCTAGAAAAAAAAAAACAAATGTAATGGATTAATAATGGATACAATACCTTAAGGATGCATACACTACTTCAATGGACAAAACCTTAAGACTTCACCAACTTCTGATTTCTCTGCACAAGGCAATGAAAAGACTGACACTCTTGCTGTATAATGAATGCAAATGCTTGTAATCTAATTTAATAGCTTAATTTTGCTAGTTAGAAAAATCTGTTTAATAGTTTTAAACCCATTTTAAATACCTTCCAATTTGAAATTTAGAAACATATCAAATAAAACAGTTCATTCTTGATAAGTCCATGTAAGTCAATCAGACTGAATATTTATTACTGTTGATGCTTATGAGACATTAAAACACAATACTGTTCATCATAGCTCTGCTACATTTACACTGAAATATTTTTAACTTAATGGCTTACTTAAAATTACAAAATAGGTTTCAGTGTGGAAGCACAGCAATTGCCCTTTTTTATCCTGTTTCTGTTATGTTAAAGCAGCAAAACCAGAAAAACAGAATTCTATACTGAGGAACTATCAAGAAAGTTAAGAGAAAATTAACAAAACGCGGGAAGCTGGCAATCAGCGTATCTTAAAACAAACTTAAATCTCTCTGTGAATGCTCTCAGACACAATTTGTGAAAGTGTCTTAACAATTATCAGTGTTTTAAAAGTTCTTCACATGCTACAGCCAAAGGTATATGAGAGAGGGCATTATTAACTAAATTATTTGTCAATAAAAATTAAGAAGTACAGCTACTATTTAACAGAGGGTTAAATAGTTTTAACAGAAGATTGGACTTCTTGAAGTACAATTTAATTTAACAGAAGATTGGACTTCTTGAAGTACAAAGGATGTTTATCTTCATAGAGTTTACAGACAACTTCACACTGAAACTTTGGCTCAAATTCCTGAGTAATGCCCCAAACCTTGAACTGCCCCAAGCAGTTCAAAACCCTGGAACATCCTGCAATTCTGTATTAATAATTATCAGTATTTACACCATTATGAAAATGCTCCTCTTCAACTGCCATCCCCCCACCAAGGAATTAATATAGAGAATATATATCTGCAGTAAAGGTACTGTTTCATAACAGGTTCAGAGCTTTTTTGTTCCTCCTGGATCAGCTTCCTGATTTTGCAATCACACCACCATGTAAATGCTAGTACCAGCAGAAGAAAGGAGGCAAAAAGTATGAGAAGGGGAAGGAGCGGTGGGCAAGGCTGCCTCTTACAGCAGACACGCTCCCATCAGCCCAAAAGCCAATTTTGAAATTTTACCTGAAAATGCATTACTTTTGTTACCAGCCTCATCTCCTACAACCTATTTGCTCCTATCCCTTCAGCCTGGTAGGTAAAACTGTTTGATCAGTCATTCAGTGATCTGGAACAGGACACTGATGCAGGTTAAAAAGGAGCCCCACACACAGACAGACAGACAAAGGCTATTCTTAGCACACATCAAACCTTCAATCCAGATCTCCACAATCCGCAGAAGCAGGCACATCAGAGCAAACAAGAATGAGATTAGGCTGCTGGGGGGATTGCTTAAGCTGCCAGCATCAAAAGAAATGCTTGTCAAACTACTGCCCAAGCCATCTTCAAACACTGCTTTCTAAAAATACCCAATTTTTAATGAGTATGAATACTTTTCCATATTGAAACAATTCAGCCACTTCTTTGCTTAAGTAAATGACAAAGAAGAGTTCATTATACAGCAACATTTTGAGTTTGAAAGCACTAAAATTCTGCATCAGCCTTTCAAATGACATGTACACATGGTGATTTACAGGCAGAGTTTTATGTGCATTTATCTTTGCTTTAAAAAATATTTTTAAAAAGCTGCATATTCCAGGACTATTTTACACTTGCTCTCTTAAAATGTCATGATCTACATGTTGTGTAAGGTAAAACTGTTCTTCAACCCCACAAAATGTCAACTTGACAGTTTTACTTCTATACAGAATATGGTTTTTTAATTGTAGTTAAAAAAAAATAAGATAAGAATAACTGCAGTATTTGTGAAAAACTGTATTTTGTATGTGTATGACAGACTCTGTTTTGACAAATAAGTAGCTTTCCTCTGTTACTGTTACCTGGCAGGACTGTGAAAACAAGACACCATATACTTAGCGTACCTAATCACAGATTAAACAAAGACGACTGCTGGGGGCTCTTGACAGATAACTTCCCTACATGAATCAAGGAATGTGATCTTGATGTAGAAACATGAATTATCTCACACTCAGCAAAAGATGATTAGCAGTTGGCAGAATCTGAGAAAAGATAAATATTGTGCAATGCTCCACATAGGCAAGGCTATAAACTACTTCTTAAAAATTCTTTCTCGTAAGTTCAGTTAAAACTATTTCACCATTCAAGAGAGTCACAAATGCTAGCAAAAATACTGCTGAAGTTCCATAGACCTTAAACTATAGTTCTCAGTGCTTACATCAAACAGGAACGCCACCAAGCAATTAGAGCTGGTAGGTCACACGTTAGGTAGGAATGTAAGACGTTCCACAAAGGCCCCTGTAAGACCACTTTCCTTGCTGACTCCACCTTTCAGGCAGTGCTCTCATGCACGGCATGCACCTTTGACAGAACTTTGGGCTTACAAAGTCCCACCTTGCACTGCCCGGGATGATGCTTTGAAGTCCATCTAACCACATGCCAGGTTGCCCTGCACCTTGTACCAGATAAGGGAACTGACCCCAACTGGGAGGAAGGGAGAAGACCTTCCTCCACTATCCCATAATTATTTTTTTTTCCAGTTTTGTCCACCACACAATGACACAGAGACCTTACACGAGCAAGACTAGCATAGTGTGGCTAGTGGCTGAGTGAGGACTGGGGAGCACTTAAGCTGCACTGCTGCCAAATAAGATGTGACAGTCACAGGTACAGTAAAACCTTGCTAAAGGACAAATCCTAATCTATATTGCTGACAGAACGGGATCCATGAAAACTGTAAGGCTGCTGTTTCACCATAAACAGAAACAGCCACAGCTCTCTGCAGTGTTGCAGCTCCACTCTCTCCGTCTCTCTCCTGCCTTCCTTTCGCTACCAGCCACCTCCTTTACACTGCCACCTCATTAGAGCCTTCTCAGACTCTACTCAACGCACTAATACAGCAGTAAACCTTCCAATTCTTTTGGCTGGGTTATCTTGCTGCTAGTGTGGAAACTAGGTAAGGTAAGAAAGGGAAAGAAGACCTTCCCTCTCCC